TGTGTTTGCGGTAACCTGCAGTCAGGAGCTGTGCGTTCATCTATTTAGGGAAGGTGAGCAGTTACTAGGTGACCCATTTGCAAAGTGAACTGTAGTGTCTCAGGTGACACACTCTCCTCCTGTCACACTAACGCGTCTCTGTGCTCTTGCCAGGATGGATGGAGAGAGTGTCTGCTGTAGCCCAAGCTCACATAATAACAAAAACCAGGAAAGAGAAAGCTTGGCTGGTCTAGTTACACTGGCTGTCTGAGTTGGTTTATCTTTATACTCTGAAAGCAGTATCAAATTATCTGAATATTTAAATGAACCTCCAGGGAATGTTCAGAATTTCAGAGTTCCATGTAAGTCTGCTTATGCTCACCTGCTATTTAAAACAGTTTAAAAGATTCTGTAATTCTTTGATTATGAATTAAGAAAATTGTTTTTGGGTTTATGGAAACTGTTTGCTTTTTTAATAATGCCTACACAACTGAGAGCACACAAGGAGCAAGAGAAGTGTGAGGTGTGAAGTTCCTATCCTTTGTATATAGGTTTATTTGACCTTAAAGATGCCAAGTAGGCTGATCAAAGTAGATCTTTCTATAGATAAAGGAAAGTTATGTGGCATTTTTAGAAGATGTACAGCATTAGTAGTTATCTGGTAATCAAACCTGTTAAGATATACCACAGGTTATTGAGAAAAACATTTCCCTCAGATAACACCTTCAGTGAGAAATCCCCTGCTTGCAAGCCGCTATTTTTGAGGTCCAATGCATTCAGAGGCAGTATTATTAATATATTGAACAGACATTTTCATGCCAGTGTGTAAATTCTTATCCATAGTAAAGAAGACCAAAAACAAGATATTTACATATATTATATTACATATATTACATTTGCCTGTACCCTGATATATTAATATAATATAATAAGAGCAAAAAAGATACTTTCTGAAAATCATGTAAATATATCTTTTTTTTAAGGATGTTTAGATATTTTAACAGGATCCCTTCAGTTTCTTTTTTCTGTATATACATACATATATATGCATGCATGTATGACATTTGTGCGATTTTGTACAATTTCCTGTTTTTCATGTGCATTTTCCTTGCCAAATTTAGTGATGTTTATGCTTAAACCGAGTGCAAAAAAGATACTCTCTGAAAATCTTTGTTTTACGAAAAAAAATTTTATGGATGTAAAAACACAATAGATATAAATAGATATTGTTACATGAAAACAAGGCTTAGATACTGATTCAGAATAGGAGGTTTTGCAGTGCACATTAAAATTTCAGTAGACCTGCTAGTTTGGCCTTCACTGTGTCCTCGGACCTTGTGGCCTAGTGCCATGTGAACCTCAGAGAGCAAATATTCCCGAGCTCTCCATGACAGCTTTATTGAGCAATTTACAGTATAGAGAGCTATAAAAGCAGTGTATGTATTCACACAGAAGGTCTCTTGCTCAATTAAGAGGATTTACATTTAAGCATCACAGTACACTACAGACAGCGAGATGCTATTAAGTGCAACAGTAACGCATGAAAGGCATGTGTATATTTGCAAGTATACGTCTTTATATATATCTTTCTTAATGTGCAACGATACGCCTGCTCTCTCCGAATCGCATTAGCATGAAAGCCTGCGGACATGGCTGTTCCTGTCTGAAACTGTGTGTGTGTGTGTGTGTCCTTGACTGTAGGTCATGTTTCATGCCGCACTGCTGCGTACATGCCAGGGTGCTCTTTGGGATTTACTGCAGTAGAGATTAGCTGCTTGTTGGCATGTGTGTGAGTGAGAGATTTATGCTCTTATTCGCTCTGATTGATATCACCAGACAGTGTTCTTATGTAACGCATCGATTTCTGGGAGCTCGGGTCTGTCGCCTTGTCATGAAGGCGGTGTGTGTGTCATGGTGACCTCATTAGCATAATCCTGTTCCTCGCTGTGAACTTTGATGTCAATGTGCGATACTGCACCGGCAGGTAAATCAATGATAATGTAAATGAGATTGAATTATGATGCCATACAGCTTGTGAGGCAAAGAGTCCTCTGACTCCCACTGATTATAACCGCAAAACAGCCCTGACTGTGCTAATATACATGTCCGTAATGGTGGATAAGCATAGAGGACGGCATGGCATATTAGGTTTTACTAATGGCTTTATGATCCACTTGGAGTGAAACAATGTCATTAAATGATTAAAGACGCTGTAAATGGTCCAAATCTCTCCAAGATTCTTCAGATCTTGGGCCTTCAAAAAATATGTGAGCAAACTAGTTATTTTAGTATTATTTTTATTTTAGTATTTCCTTATTTTAGTATTATTTTTATTCATTTTTTATTTTTATTATTTTTATATTAGTAATTTTATTAGTAATATATTATTTTTATATTAGTAATATATTATATATTATTTTTATTTCTTTCATGTAGTTGCCATGTTTGCATTCCTAATTTTTATTTAGTTTCATTTTTCACATATTTATATATTTCAATTAATAAAAATGTTTTAATAGTTTTAGTTTTAAAGATAATAACCATGCAGGAAATCTGATGTTGCCGATCATCATGTACAATGACTTGTGATTGGTTTAAAATGTGTAGACTGCTCTTCTGGCTCCTTTTCTACTGTTAACATAGCCTGGGGCTGTCATAGAGACTTATTACAGATATCTGACAGTAAAGATATTTTATTGTGATATTCCCAAAATAAATCACTTACAACACCTATAAACTTAGCGATAACTCGGGATAGCTGCTAATCATTAGCTTATCAGATAAAAAAGGTTAATGTCTTAGAAGTGCAATAAAGGTTTGATGCAGTTGTTTACAAAGAAATTATTAACTGGAGTGATGGTTTTATTCAAGTTGTAGCTTCTAAGCAAGTGGATATTAAACTATCTATAAGCATGTAGATCACTGTAGCACCTCAGTTCAACCAAGTATCCTTTCATATTTACTTAAAGCATGAAATAAACATGAATGAACATGGGAAGGTATCTTGATTAATCTACTCTTCTGTCTGGTTTGTTTGCCAGACAAAATGGCAGATTTGGTGTTATGATTGGTCAGATCGCCTGTCAATCAAACTCCATGCGAAGGGTCAGTTGAGCTGTAGAGCTGCTTCATAGCTGAAATAGTTTCATAATCAATGAACTTCGCGACATTGACACTGAATTGAATCAGCATTGAACTGAATAATAACACTGTTTTCTTTTGTGGAGTGGCTTTATAACTGAAATTGAAGTTGTTTCATAATTGATGAACTTTGCAACATTGACAGCATTATTTTCCTGTTTATAAAACTGCTTTGAAACAATCTGTATTGTATAAAGTGCTATATAAATATATATGACTTGTTGGGAATTAAGTTATACTCATTCCTGAAAAAGTAATTCGGCTAGGATGGATGGAGAAAACATACATACATATTCAATAGATGGCAATAAAATCACTGCCTAGCACCTTTAATTGCTGAAATTACATTATGTTCCCATAATAAATCAAATACCATTCAAATAGGGCATTAGTAAATCATCACAAAAACACAACACCGAATAAGCATAAAATATCTTTACTTAAAATATCCTCTTTGAAAACAGCAGAACAGAGTATGGCTGAACAATATTGCTTAACAAAGCCCTCATATTCAAGTAAAGTACATTCAATAACACATTACACAATATATTTCAAACCTGCTGACTTTACAAACACATAACGTAAGACACGAGCCCTGGTCCCAGTGCTTTAGAAGAGCTGATGTTGACCTCCTTGCTTAACCTGCAAGATTTGTCTATTGGCATGTACTCACTGTGTTTCTTGTGCATCGCTTTGCAATATCAAAGTCCAAGATTAAAGCATAGAACAAGAAACGGCACATTAAGGAATTATAGGGGTTTCATGCAATTATTGCTACAGCTTTTAAACTGAAATCTTGTGCGTATCAATTGCTATAAATGACATCTTTCAGAAACACACACAGGAAAATGCAATTACTATCTGAGGCACAAATACTTCAAAAATCAAAACTGCTCTGATTGTTCAGTATGTGCTAGATTTTGTGCGTGATTTCCCTGCGTGCCGACATGGATATGTTGCCACGTGTGTTCATTTACCATAGGGGATTTTCTAGATCTTGCAGCCTGATAGCAGTGTGCATTGGGTTTCATTAAGCTTCAGCACTGCTGAGACAGCCAGAGATTACAGCCTGGCAGGGAAGGACAGTAGCACAGATGGCATCTGTTCGGGAATCTGCCGATCTGTCGTATCTTTGCATTTTAATCTGAGATGCTGGTCTATAGAGCAGAGGTGCCCAAACTTTAATACAAAGGACCAGAAATCAAACTTGATTGAGGGCTGTTATCCAAAAATAAATGTTGCATTGTATCCATCTACTCTGAAAAAAAAAATGGTGTAGAAACTGTTTTCGCTCAGATATTGCTAGTAAATTTCACAAATAATTAGAATAAATGGCAAGTAACACTGAATTAGATTTCAAATGTTGTAGTAGAAACTAAATAAATTGTATTTTCTGTACTCTGATAATATATATATTTTTTAATTTTGTTTTATTTCATCTTGTTTTGTTTAAAATATTTTAATAATTTATTTCATTAATATAAGCAAGCATTTTATAACTTTTTATAGTGTATATTATATTAAAATTCATTTAATAAACAAAAAATTTACATTTTTAAATGTTTTATTTATTTTTAATCAAATTCAATTGATTGTTTTGTTTTGTTTTTACATTTTTTTTTCAGTGCAAAAAGGAATGCATGAACTAAAAAAATGTATACCATCAATGCAATATAAGTCATTTTGGATAAAAGCATCTGCCAAATGCATAAATGTAAATATAATATGACGGGCCAAATCAAAGGTCATCATGGGCCAACTTAGTCCAGATTTGGGCATCTTAAATACCCCATTTACATATTAAATACCCCATGTATATATTACTCCTCTTGTCTGTCTATGCATCACATGTAAATCAGAGCATCATACAAAATTGGCACCATATTCTAAATCCAAATAATTAAAGCATTTGCACTAATGAATGAAGAATGAGAAAAGAAAGAAAGAAAGAAAGAGGGACAGTACAAACACATGATTCCCTGCATAGCCTCTTTACTCTCCAAACAGCACACCTGGTCTGCTGGACAGCTGGCAGGTTGCCCAGCATCACTGCATGGAGGGTGAAGGGGCTTTGAGGCCCTTGACCCGGGGGCCCTGCGCTTGCATATCATGCTAAAGAAGGGAGGGAAGGGGAGGAAGAGGGGTCCAGGGGGGTCCTTCATTTGAAAGATGCACGGACCTCACGATCTTTCAGAGGCTGAGGGGGGCGATAGTTGTTCACCATGCAGCAGGCCTCCTCATCCTCTGCTGTAAAAAGCAGAGATCGGAATTTCTTCATCTGTAGAGGAAGAGAAAGAAAGACAAATACTTGAGTTTTCAGCATCTGTTACTATTTATTTAATAGAACTGACACTGAACTGACTTGAGCTGAATTTCACTGAACTGAATCAACATTGAACTGACTCAGACTGAAGTAAATGGAATTGAACTAACATTAAACTGACTCGAGCTGAATTGAACTGAATTGAATCAGCAATGAACTGAATCAAGCTGAATTTCCCTGAATTGAATCAACATTTAACTGATTTTGGTTCCCTTGATTTCCCTGATTTGTATCAACTGAATTGAACTGAATTGAATCAACATTGAACTGACTCAGGCTGACTTGAACTGAATTGAATCAACACTGAACTGATTTGAGCTGAAATGAACTGAATTAAATCAACATTGAACTGAATCAACACTGAACTGACTCAGGCTGACTTGAACTGAACTGAATCAACAATGAACTGACTCTTGCTGAACTGAACTGAACTAAATCAACATTGAACTGACTCAGGTTGGATTAAACTGAACTGAATCAACACTGAACTGACTCGAGCTGAATTTCACTGAACTGAATCAACATTGAACTGACTCAGGCTGAATTGAACTAAACTGAATCAACATTGAACTGACTCAAGCTGAATTGAACTGAACTAAATCAACATTGAACTGACTAGGGTTGGATTGAACTGAACTGAATCAACACTGAACTGATTTGAGCTGAATTTAGCTGAATTGAATCAACATTGAACTGATTTGGGCTGAATTGAACTGAATTAAATCAACATTGAATTGACTTGAGCTGAATTGAACTGAATTTAATAAACAATGAACTGACTCGGGCTGCATTGAACTGAACTGAATCAACACTGAACTGACTCGGGCTGAATTGAACTGAACTGAATCAACGTTGAACTGACTGAAGCTGGATTTCACTGAATTGAATCAACTTTGCACTGACTCGAGCTGAATAATAACATTCTGTAGAGCTACTTATCACTGAATTTAACTTGTTTCACAATTGATGAACTACACAGTGAATGAACTGATCTGAATCAACACTGAACTGACTTGAGCTGAATAATGACACTTTCTTTTTAGAGCTTCTTTACAGCAGAATTTGAATCATTAACATTTTCCTGTTAATTACCGTTCACAGCTTTGCTGCTTTGAATCGATCTGTACTGTATAAAGCTGTATAAATAATGGTGATTTGACTTGTATTGGGAAAACGCTTATAGTTCTGCAAACTGGTTAAACATTAACTGTCCTAAGCAAACTAATTTTCATTCATTCTTACATTTTGAACAGAATATCATGTTAAGTTATTTTGTATTATGAAGTCAATAATTGAACAGGCAGCTAGGATATGAGGCATGCCACCTGAGGTTATGTACACATTACCAGCCTTGAACCAAAGTTGTGATGTAAACATTCGACAGGGTCGTGTTAATTTTCACATGAGGGCTAGATGCCGCAGAGGTTGAATGGAGAAGAAAATAGAACTCACTATGAAAGTTTTGTACATTTGTTTACAATTTCCTCAGATGAGAGCAAATGTCTAGCTGGTTTTGAAAGCAGAAGGCCTAAAGACTAAAAGATGTTTTTTTGCTAGACCGTATGCATTTGGGTAGCTAGCTCACATAATGTTTTAAGTAGTGATTGCAGTATATAAATACAGTTTTTATATAGATATACAGTGGGTACGGAAAGTATTCAGACCCCCTTAAATTTTTCACTCTTTGTTATATTGCAGCCATTTGCTAAAATCATTTAAGTTAATTTTTTTTCCTCATTAATGTACACACAGCACCCCATATTGACAGAAAAACACAGAATTGTTGACATCTTTGCAGATTTATTAAAAAAGAAAAACTGAAAAATGCTCAGTATTTAGTAGAATATGCATTTGGGTAGCTAGCTCACATAATGTTTTAAGTAGTGATTGCAGTATATAAATACAGTTTTTATATAGATATATATGCATTCATTCACATTAATTACACAACCTAAGGAGGTTATATACAAATTTGTATTTTACAGACATAATTTGTGATCTTAATCCTGTTCAAATTAACAAGTCTGTGTTTTTTAGTTGAGTCAGCAAGGTGTTCTTTGCTCTGCTTTAGAATTAATAAGATGCACATCCAAATCTCTATTATGCGTAGATGCCACACTTCACTATTAAGCATGTGACTTGTAAATTCCATTGGTATAAATTGTGTCATAAGCAGGACCTGCTCCAAGCTGACGCTGATTGACTGCTTGCAGACGATCCATGAGACGCTCTCGAGCAGAGGAGGGGTGGTCAGAGACCCCAGGTACGTCCAGTAATCCAGAGACTCCGGGAGCAGGACGGTTGGGTCAAAGTTTGTGAATGAGGTCTGCGTTCCCTGCAAGATAACACGCACAAATGGACCATGAAGCAGAACTGATTTCAATATTTAGCATGAAGTAAAACTGACAACAAAATGTAATTGAATTGGTAGACATGCCTTGCACTTGATTGCATCCATAGCATCCAGAAGCTTCTGAAGATTAGGATTGTCTGCGCCAATCTGATGAGAAAACAACAATTTTTCATTTTTATCCTAAACTAAAAAATAGTGGGATAAATATGACTAAAGCACAATATTTTACGTAATTTTATTTTGCATTTTATTTTATTTATAAATATGCTCTAAATGTAAGACTTAAATTAAATTTACATTTTTCTTCAACCAAATTTTGAAAATTTGTGGGATGAATGTGACTAAGGCACAATATTTTATTTTATTTTATTATTTTGCAAAAATATAATAAGCAAAAGTGATGATACTATTTAGTGAATCAATCTCTGTATTGCTGATAAAGTGGTTAGTGAATAGGCCCTAAAAATGAAAGACTTCATACTAATTTTAAAAGAATGCGACTAAGGCACAATATTTTAGTATTTTATTTTATCCATTTTATTTTGCAAAAATATGAGGAAACGTGATGAAACTATTTAGTGAATTCATCTCTGTGTTTGCTAATAAAGTGGTTCGTGAATAAGCCCTAAAAATGCAAGACTTAATACTAATTTGAAAAAACTGTCTATGCACAATATTTTTTTATTTCATTTTTTTAAAATTTTGTTTGTGCAAAACTATCATGAGAAAAAAGTGATGAAACTATTTAGTGAATTCATTTCTGTGCTTGCTGATAAAGTGGTTCGTGAACAGGCCCTAAAAATGAAAGCCTAATACTGACTTTAAAAGATTGTGACTAAGACACAATATTTTTATTTTATTTTATTTTATTTTAGCGCATAAATGTCATAAGCAAAAGTGATGCATCAATTTAGTAAATTTGTAAATGTGTTTGCTGACAAAGTGGTTAGAAAATAGCCCCCCCCACCCCCCCAATTTTTTAAATTCTAATTCTAATTTTAGTGAATTCGTCCCAGTGTTTGCTGACAATGTGGTTAGTACATAGGCTCTAAAACTGTACAACTGCACACAGACCTCTAGAAAAACTCCAACCACAGCAAGACCATCAGGCTTACTGGCTGCTTCCCCAAAGCTGGGATATTCTGTGTTCCAGTGGACCAGATGGAGCTAAAGATGAGATTATTAGGAACATGAATACTTAATTATAAAAGAAAACATCTCACATCTTCATTTTCCCAGTATGCTCAGAGATTCATACCTCAGCTGGGTAGCATTTCCCATCGACTGTGTGCTCGGAGCCCTTGTCGTCACTGGCTCCCCAGTGGAAGTGGAACTGCTTGAGTCTGTATTTGCCTGAGATTGGGCCTTCCGTCAGAGCTAATGTGGGCAAACACAGAAAAAATTATAAATGTCATGTCAAAGTCTGTTACATACTCTATACAGTAGGTAACAATCGTTAAACAGGCTAAACATGGTTAAACTTGCTACACAGATTCCATCTACTGATTCTGTCAAAGTTCACATGAATGACACTTAAACCATTCACTGCTTAGCAGCTTCAGTGTAATTATTTGTGTGAACACGTTTGTGATTTCCCATAATTCTAAGCAAAAGTAGCTGTGTCACTGGAGGACGAGATAGCTGAAGGGTCAAGGAGGTGTTACACTGGTATTTTCACATATTCATTTAATTTTAAGCTTTACACCTGCTTAGACATGCCATAAAATAAACTATAACCTATAAATAAACACAACGTATAAAAATAGTGTGCAAACGATCTATTTAAAGGCTTTTAAACACTCGTATACTTGTGCGTTTACTTGTAAATTAATGTTTAACTATGTAGTTAGAGCAAAAGCCAACCTTTGAAATGCTTTCCAATGCTTCCTGAAAGAGCATGTTCGGTACGATGCAGCTATATTCAGCAGTAATACTGCGGAGATTGCATTAGTGTCAGACGCAGCCTCATTATTATATAACTTTTCCTTCTAAATATTATCTAGGTTAACACTGCAGTCGTTTCAAGAACCCTCTGCCTAAGTCAAGCTAATGATTAATACAGGAATAGATGTAGCTTAGTTGATTATAAAAAATGAACATAGAGGTCACAAACTTGAGCTGTCGTCATCATCGGCGAAGGTCACTTGGAAGGAGTGTCCATTATTCAGGATGTCCAGTGAAGTGGAGGGGTCGTACTGCAGTTTAAGCGGTTTCAGTGATTCATCATAAGATGCTCCACTGGGTTGAATGTCTATTGGAGACTGGCGAGGTCCATTAGCAATGGGGAAGTTTTCACACCATTTCTCAGGTCCTGCAGTGGAAGGTGATACAAAGGTTAAACAATATGCATCTGGGACAAAAAAACATTTACAGCACATAAAATTTTATTTTAAAGACCACTTTCTGCACATTTGACAGTAGCTACATCCTTGCCTTTAAGGCAAAATAAAATTAAATAAAAATATTATATATGCCTTTATGTAAAAAAAAAAAAAAAAGTATGCATCTGAGACAAAATGTACAAAAAAAAAGAAACTAATGGTAGCCTATATTTTAATTCATTAATTACATAAATAAAACAAATATTTTATGTGCATTTACAACATTTGAATTGCAGTGTCCACGGTATTATCTGCATTTGGGATTAAATAAAAATCCACAATTATTTAAAGAAGAAAAAATATCCTTACATCATTGCCTTTAGTAACCATAATAATAACAATAATAATATAAAAATATTTGTATGTGCATTTAAAACATGCATTTGAATTGCAGTATCCACGGTATTATCTGCATTTAGAATTAAATAAAAATCCACAATTATGCGAAGAAGAAAAAATAATATATATTTAATAATAATAATAATAATAATAATAATGTATTTATGTTCCAACAAAATGTACAAAAATGAAATTATATTTAATTATATCCTTTTGAATAATAATAATAATGATTATTATTATTATTATGTGCATTTTAATGGAAAGAAAATTTTTAATTGCACAGTGTCTAAGGTATTTTCTGCTTTTGGTATAAAATAAAAATCCACATTCGTGTGAAGAAAAAAGTACATACAGTTGACACAAAAATACAAATTTATATGCATAGTTATGCACATAATATACGTAAAATCTCTACATTTTGCACTTGTCACTGATAGTGCTGACTGTGCAGTAGCCAAGGTGAACATGTCTTAGTTGCAAAGAGGGCAAATGCAGATAATGAGGCAAAAAAGAGAGAATCTGTGATAGATTTCATATGGACATATCCTAAATTATTAAAATCATAATTACATGGGGGGGTCTTACCGTTATGGTCTGCGTATCCCCATCCGTTAGACATTATGACAGCTGCGCCGCAAGAGTCTTCAAGTGTCCTGAAGCAGTGTCAGTGTCCTCGGACAGATGAGCTGGGGGTTTATATAGCGGCTTTCTGGACGCTGTTCGCCCACATGACCGTACATTAAGTGTGATCAGCAGCAGGAGGAGCTACAGAGAGATCGATACTGAGCGCGCTCTCCATCCGCGTCTCTCTCGGAATGCGGGATCTCGTCGGCGGCGGGAATCTTCTGCTTTGATCTGCTGCTACATTCTTACAATTCTGTGATTGCGTAATCAGATACTTGTGGCGCGCTGGTTCTGGTGACGTAGAGTGACAGTGTGACATAGACTAGTGATAATGACAATGAGTGCAGTAATGATTCATCACTTGCACAGCGAATGAATGGCGGTTTTGCGCAACACTCTGCTTCTTTAGCTGGTATTTGACGCTTTACAAAGAACGACCCCGTGACTGACGACAGATATATGGAAATATGTTTTTTAAAAACGGGCTACCTTACTCATAATGAATGTAGTGCTATCAACATAATGCTTTAATATGTCCATGTGTATATCACTAACAGATACACTAATAATAGCCAGAGTAATTTTTGTCATGTTATTATTATTATTAGTCTATTATAATTATTATGTTTACTATTTATTATTGGCTCAAGAATAAATAATATGGTATAAAATATGAAAACTTTGTAGATTTTAATATAAACATTGCAGCCAGGATACATATATAGCTTGTAATTTCTGCCGATACTGAAACCAATGCTATTTAAATCAAGATATATATTTTAAATAGCGCGTATATTATTTGTAATTGTATATGCATATGTAAAGTTACAAATGTTCTGAATTTGTGAAGCTCTATCAATGTACTTGAATCTGAACTTGCAATATAAAGTGATTGATTGCCATCTGGTGGTCGAGTGTTGAAGCTACTGTTGACCGCAAAATGAACAAACAAATGAGTAAATGCATGTTTAAATTCACAAATAAAGAAGGGCCAAATGCCTAATTGCATTAATTAGGCTATTTTTTACGTGTATATTACTTTTTAATTTGTGATTATTTCTATAAATAGGAACCTTGATTGCAATCTTACGGCTGACAGTAGTCAAATTTAATTTTTGTAGAGTTGAATGGACAAATAAAGTGCAAAATACGTTGTTCCAACATTTTTATCTCAATCAGTCGTGATCAGTTGTCGTCGTGACCTTATTTCAAGTTTCGCGTACTCTCCACACCACTAGATGGCGCTGATGCACCTGTACAGTGAAGAAAAAGCACAGTCACAGCAGACACGTGGATGTGGGTAAAAGCTGTTGATAGTTGAAACTACGCTTTTCTGTTTATGGAATAGATGCGACGTTTTTATATGTAGTTGTATTTGTTTTGTCAGACACGTTTAGTTTAGAATCGAGTGTCATCTAAGCGTGATATAGCCACATACTGTTCTCCGTCTGCTGTCTGCGTTTGGATCAGTCGTTTAACGTTATTTAAGACGTCCACATTGCGGATTCATTGAGTTGAGTTCTCATCAGAAAGTCTACAGGGGAAATGGCCAAAAATAAACAGAAAGGCAAAAAGCAACAGAATGTATTTCAGGTTGCGAACAAACAGTCAAAACCCAAGACCAAGGCGAAACCCGTCAAGACCTCTTTGAAACACGTGAGTTCAAGTTTTGTTTACATCAGTAATGCGCCATTAGGACTGTACACAGTTTTAGAGATTTTGAATATAAATAAATTGAAATTCTGCCCACAGATAAACACGTTGAGAAATGAAAAAGTGGAGAGCTTAAATCAGATGTTCACAGAAGTGCAGCGAGATGTCAAAAGTATATCAAAATCAACATCCAGGGAACCCAAAAAAGGACAGAAGGTCAGTTTTTCCTGTTTTATTTTCTTATTTGTAAGCAATGTCCAAATACATTCTGCAACTTGACTTTTTATCAAATGTTTTGCATGAATTGTTTTTGTGCTTTGTCTCTAAATGCCACTGTCATGTTTTGTTATCAAATGCTATGACATTTCATGCCTCATGTGTCCAAATACTTTTTTGCGCTGTAAATGTTTAATGTTGACCGTCACATCGCATGTAAACTGTATATTTCAGGTGGTCAGAGAAGCTCCACGGGAAGCTGTCAATGTGGATAATGCTGCCCAGCTTTTCTCTCAACTGTAGAAGACCATTTTAACATGCTGAAAATGGAAAAACAAACAAAAACAGTTCATAATAACTGTCTATCATTGATATTATTATTACATGAATATCCCTGTGTATTTTTTTTTTTTTTGTAGTCTTTGCAGAACTGCATGATTTCTATTGCCCTCGTAGGACTGCTTTTGTAAATGTACTCCGCAACAGTGCATGCAAATCACACAACCAAGCTTAATGGCTAAAAAATACATTAGTAAGTTTTCCTAGAGCACTGATTTTTTTTATATTGTCTATGCTTGCTGAAGCATAAAGAACAAAGTCATTAAAGACCGAATTCTATCAGAGCTGTTTTGTAATGAGTTGTGCTTCTGTTGTATTGAATCAGCTGTAACAGGCTTTATATATTCTTCGGATCGATGTTTGAACTTTTGACCCAGTGGAAAGAGAGATGTCCACTCGAGTCGCTGGATTGTTAGCTGGTGTTTTATTTCTTTTAGAGGTGGGGCTGAAGGAGAATTTACTTTTATTTATTTTTTATGATTTTCTTTTTCTTTTTTTTTCTTTTTTTTGCAGTTCTCGGCACTAAAACAGCACTTGAAAGAATCTCTTCAAAGCTTCGTTGTGAATCTGCTTACAGGTTTTTGGAAACACAAGTTGGTAGTTCAGGCACAAATTAAAATTGAGTAGTTTACTCATCCTTGTGTTGTTCCAAACCCATATGATTAAAATGGAAGTGAATTCATTTTCATTTTAGAGCAAAATTCTACTTTAATTCCTGTATGCAAAATTGATCTTGAGTGAGTCATGTGAGTCCTGCTGGTTTATGATCACAGAAAAATGAACATGAATTTGAGAACAACTAAAATTGATGAATGAGACAGTTGTTTGTGTATGTGACTAGATTATTTGAATTAGTAGGCCTACATTCAAAAAAATAAATTAATACTTTTATTTAGAAAAGATGCATCAAATTGATCAAAAGTGACAGTGTATATATATATATATATTACATATATATATATTACATATATTAATATTATTATTATTATGAGACAGTTGTTTGTGTATGTGACTAGATTATTTGAATTAGTAGGCCTACATTCAAAAAAATAAATTAATACTTTTATTTAGAAAAGATGCATCAAATTGATCAAAAGTGACAGTGTATATATATATATATATTACATATATATATATTACATATATTAATATTATTATTATTATTATATATATATTATAATATAATATATTACAAAGGACTTTACTGATTTCTGTTTTATATAAATGCTGTTGTAAACTTTCTATTCATCAAAAAAGAAGATAAAAGAATCGTGACAGCGAAGACTGGAGTAATGGCTTCTGAGAATTCAGCTTATCGAAAATAGAGTTAAGTTATTTTGAAGTGTAATAATATTACACAATATTACTGTTTTTATTGTATTTCAATCAGATAAATTGGTGAGCATAAAAGAGTATGCTCATCAATTAGATCAGTACACCAATCAGTGTATATTTTAAGTATTTAAGTTTGAGAGAGGCTCTTTTAATGTGGACGTTCCTTCTTTATTTCCTATGTGTTGTGATAACAGCTCAAGACCACTAGAGGCCAGACATTTATAATAATAGCACTACATTTACAGCAAGACTGCAGGTCACCAGACATATACTTATTTTTCTCCTATTTACTTAGATATAACTAAATGTAAGGAGAAGTATATGATTATTTTTTTAATAAACAGGCATTTTGAACTAAAGTGTCCATCTGTGGCTGACACAATGAAGCATGCAGTGTTTAAGAAATACAAACATGCTTAAAATACACTCTTAAAAATAAAGGTTCTTGCAAGTGGCATCTATGATCCATGAAGAACCTTTAACGTCCATGTTGGAACAAGGTTATTTAGATTATGAAAATATTCTTTACACTAAAAAAAAAAAAAAGGTTTTTTTAAAGGGGTCATATGATGCGTTTTCATTTTTTCCTTTCTCTTTAGCGTGTTAAAAGCTCTTGTAATGTACAGTATGTGGAAAATAATGTGTTTTTTTAACTTTAAACCGCATAAACACATTTCATTACACCAAATACACAAAATAATGTTCTTTTTAGCAGCATCATATGACCCCTTTAAGAACTGTTCTTTGAGAACACAAAATGGTTCTTCAATGGCGTCACTGCGAGAACCCCCTTTGGAACCTTTATTTTTTGGAGTGTGGCTTTATGCATTGTCTGTTTAAACCTTTCTCTAGTCTGAGAGTGGTATGAGAGTTCACTGGCGCGTATATGCCATCCTGACAGTATCAGGGACTAAACAGAACATTTGTGTTGAGATTCATTCAATCTGCCATCGAGCTTTTAACCGAAGACTTGAATGCATGAATATATCAAACCTTAAAGAAGGATGAAAATAATGAGTTGCTCTCTCATTGTGTAACATAATTATCCACAGTAGCAAAATACCTTAAGCCATAAAGTAAGCTCAATATCATAATGCAAAGCACATTGTTTTCTCTTTTAAAGTAAATTATTGTTTCCCTCCAAAAAGGCTATTTTTGACATATTTTCATGAATAATAAAAGTCTGCAGGCACTAAGAGATTTGTGCAAATTTGTCTGTCAATATATGTCTCGCATCACTCAAAATTGAGAATGTTGTGAAATAGCATTTTTTATGTGCTAGGATCCATATTTTGTGCTCGGCTTTTTCAGCAGCTGTTTACGTTGTCTCTTGGAACAGCTGGGGGTCTTTCATAAGGCAGTGAAAAGCATAAATATATAATTCGACTGGTAAATCAGCAGCATCTCTTCAATACATGTTGTTCATCTCTTGCAAAGTCGGTTCTGCAGAAAAACAGATGATTGCTTTCTACGCACAATAACAAGCAGTTGTCGAGCACTAGGTGTCCAAATCTTCCTCAAACAGGAAATGGGGATTTGCTCCGAGGGTCAGGAGAGGAGTTAGGTGTGTGTGAGGTGAGGTGAAAATCCACACACAAACAGTTTCTCCACAGCTGTCAAGCATTCTTCTTCTGATCATCCTGATGCTTTGCAGTGAGATTTGGAGCTCTGCACAATCTTGCACAGCATAAAACTCGAGTCTAAC